TAGCCTATAACACTTTCATTGTACAAAAAGAGAGCAAAGAACGTTTACACTATCAAAGAACATTTTCACTTCAGTCCAGCTAATTCAAGCACTCTCAAAATCTCCCATAATATTCTCTAAAGCTGTTTACACTGTAAAATTAATATCTTACGTGCATTCGTACATCTTCACTTTGTTGTTTCTGATGAGATAATTAGCCAGAGATTGCAGTCAGGCAGCGCACGCAGTGACGAAACAGCGTGTTTCAGCGGTGACTCATCTGAACGCCTCTGATTGGTCTTTGTATTCATAAACTCAACATAATAGTATGGGATTGGTTATAATGCGCAGCGCTTTAAAAACGTGTGTGTCTCTGGCTCTGTGCCAGCCAGCGAACGCAGATTTGAATTTAGCTGCTGGAGATGTTTTTCTTTTTTTATATGCATAGTTTACAGGACAAACTGCGCATTTCACCCAAAATTGTTTGGTGTGATATGATTCCAAATTTAGGGGGGGCCAAAGGGGGGGCCAAGCTTGTTGGCAGGGGGGCACTGGCCCCCCCTGGACCCCCCCTAGAACCGCCCCTGCACACAGGCTGAATGTAAATATAGGTCTCTGTAAATCAACTCGCTGACAGCAGGTGGCGCTTATGAAAAAACTGAATTGAACCTCCGTGGACAAAGCAGTATTGCGATTAAGAACACTTCCTTTAGGTATTACATGGAGCGAAGATGAAAAAAAAAATCCATCGAATCGTTTCTGAAGACAGTCAGAACCTTCAGAGGTACATTCATATAATTAATTCATTCATGTATTCATTTGTATAATTCACTTAGCACTCTTTTAAAACCTCCTAGCTTTTCCGCCCTGTTTTCACTCAAAACGAAACTACTCTGCATGCTGTGCGCACGTGAGACTGTTACTTAAAACTGTGCTTTATGCTGGATAGTATTTATTTATTGCGAGTTGTTCAAATCGCAGTAATCTACAGTTTTAATGATAATTAAAAGATGAAACGGTAATACTAACCGTGGGGGAATTTTATCATGATTTATCGTCAAACCGGTAATCGTTACATCCCTACTATCTTGAATTAGTTGTTTAAAAATCATTACATGGAATTGAAAATTAATAACGCTAGAATACATATGTTTTTGTGAATAGAAAATGTTGGGGGGCCTTGCAGTATTGATTCGGAGAGGAGGGGGGCCTTGGAGTAAAAAAGGTTGAGAACCACTGATCTAGACCAATCTGGACCAACCAATGAGCACAAATGACAAAATCTAGAAACCATGCAAAAACAACTAAAGGCTAATATATAATTTATATCAAATTGTGATTTTTCTGATAAAATCTATTTTGCAATTTAAAAAAGCACCAGGTTTGCTATGCTTGTTTGTAGGTCTGCACATAAAATTAGGCCAAAACTGTTGGGATTATATATCAATAGGAGTATATTAATATTAATCACAAAACCACTACTTCTACTACTAGATGAAAGTAATATTATTATATTATTATTATTATTAAATTAAAAAATACAAATATATTGCTGTTGTAATTTCTCTGTAAAATAAAGTATAATAGTAATAGAATATGAGTATTTATCATTATTATTATTATTATTATTACTAAATTAAAAATAAATCTTTGTAAAATAATGTATAATAGTAATAAAATATAAGTAAAATAAAAGTATTTATTAGTAGTAGTAGTAGTAGAGGTAGTCATAATTACTAATAATATTTAATAATCATAATCATTTTACTTTACAGCACAACTGAAAAATGAATATATAATAAAATATTTATTGCTGTCTAAACCATCAAGTTTTTATTCTAGCAGAAAACTGCAGGGAGCCCTTAAAGCTTCTCTTTTGTTTATAAGTGTCTCTTTATAAGCGCTTCTCATTACAAGTTTGGGAAGATGGTTTGTGTTTGCAAATGCACATTAAAGACCCAAATTCACAGCACATTTGTGGAGCAGCATTTACGGTGAACCGAGCCGCTCCGAGACACTGAAAACACTGGATCATGAGCTGTTCACGTGTAAAAGAACACAGTGCTGCGCTTAGCCATTCTGTTATTTTGGTTTGATTTCTATTAATCGTGCAGCCCTGCTAGTTTATATATTCCAGAAGCGGCAGACCCATATCCAAACACACAAACATATATGCTGGCTTTGTCAGCAGGAAGTACTCGGCATAGACAGACACTCAGAGTCGACATGCATGAGCTGGCATGGCGGCAGTGAGAGTGATGGAGAGGCTGAGATGCTGTGGACTGTAAATAAACTCTGACAGAGGCACCGCAGGCACCGCTGCGCTCGGTGGACAATGGATGAGTTCATTTTGCGTCTGGGTGTTGGGAGACAGATCTGGACTGTGTCTGAAGGTTATTATGGGATGGGCAATGATGGAAATGGCTGATGATGGAACGTTCACTCTCTCTTTATCGCTCAGGAGGCGAGAGACAGCAAGAAGTGAAAATGAATGTACACAAGTTAACACAAAAAGGATAAGAACATCAATTTCTTTACTAGCTTAGATTGAATAAATTGTATAGATTTAATAAATGATCATTTTAATGAAATACAGTGGTCGCAAGGAGAATTTGAACACTTAAATCACACTTACAAATGGGTAAATGACATTGCATTAGATAAATATTATTATATAACATATTTGATTAAATACTATATTATATTATTGATTGCATTATTTATATTTCATATTTTTATTCTAATTTAATACATGTATTTATATATTATATTTATTCAATTGTATTATTTAAATAATTTACATTTTAATATTGAATCATTTATTAAATAATATAATTAGCCAGACCCGGAGATCGGCTGAATGGATTCGAAAACGGTAAAACTCAACTGTTTAACTCTAGGGGAGTTGGAAAATGAGCCTATTTTCAAAAATAGTGCGTGTTCCTTTAAGTTTGAAATTGTTGAACAAAAGATATACTAAAATAAAAAGGACAACTATGTGAACTTCATAAATCCACTAAAAAGTAGAAGACATTGAGCAAAGTGAAGTTAGTGAAAAGAAAAGATCCTGCGGCATTCGAGTGTGTCTAATGCAGTGACATTCAGACAGTCTCCAAATACTTATTGATGCTTCTGTACAGGTGGCCATATGTGACCCTGGACCACAAAACCAGTCTTAAGTCGCTGGGGTATATTTGTAGCAATAGCCAAAAATACATTGTATGGGTCAAAATTATTGATTTTTCTTTTATGCCAAAAATCATTAGGACATTAAGTAAAGATCATGTTGCATAAAGATATTTAGTAAATTACCTACTGTAAATATCAAAACTTAATTTTTGATTAGTAATATGCATCGCTAAGAACTTCATTTGGACAACTTTAAAGGCGATTTTCTCAATATTTAGATTTTTTTGCACCCTCAGATTCCAGATTTTCAAATAGTTGTATCGCGGCCAAATATTGTCCTATCCTAACAAACCATACATCAATGGAAATGAGATGGTGTATAAATCTCAATTTGAGAAAATTGGTTTTGTGGTCCAGGGTCACATATTTGGTTTATACTACAAAGGACCAACAGCAAAATAACATTTATTACAGCAAATACATAATTAGATTCCTTCAATATGCAATTAAAACCCATTTCCGGAAGGAAAAGTCATTAATTATTAAAATAACAAAAAGACAAAGTCTGGCTAGAAAACACAAAGTCAAACAAGTGTGTGAGAAAGAAAGTCTGTTGTATAGATTAAACACTGAGTGATTTCAAAGCCAGACCTCCAACTGTGTGTAAAACAAGTGTTAGGCAGCTGAGAGGCTGATAGCACACTACCAAACAAGAAACACACACAGCAACCCCTGGCTGACCATTTGCCACACCATCACTACCACCAAACATGAGGTATGTAAAAGCCTGATGGAAAAGTCCAACATACAGAACACCATAAAGCACATAATACTGTGCATACTGACAAAGAAATACAGATTTAATAAGTTGTAATTATACTAAAATACAGTGGCCCCAAGGAGAATTTGGACAATTAAATCACTTTTATAAATGACATTGCATCAGATAAATATCATTAAATTATACATATTTATGTTTAACTAATAATAATTATAATTTATCATCAAATAAAAAAAATATGAAAATATAATATAATAAAATATATTATATTATATAATAATTTAATTACATTATGAATACTAATATAAAAAATAGAAAATAAACAAATATTATTTAGACAAATATTATATTTTATTGAATATTTACATTATATCAGACTACATTATTAATATATTAAATTTAATTATTATTTTAATTTACCTGTATCACTAAATAAATATATCTCAATCCCACTTTAAGCAAAAACATTTCATGAAAAGTAGTTTGTTAGGTTTGAAACTTTGAGCAAAAATGAAGAAAAGTGAAGTTAGTGAGGATAAAAACTTGTTTCTCCTAGACGGGGCTGTAACTATCATAGATGTCAATGACTGATTCATAAACTTTTACATTTGTTCTCCCCAATCTAGCATATTTGCTTGCCTCCAGATACCAATGAGACTAAATGGAGAGCAAATAAAGACTTTCAATGAAGTAAATAAAAAAGACCCCTGTAATTTCACCTGTCTCCAATGAAGTCCCAAAAGATATCTTAATAATGTGCTCAATCATACCAAGACACCACAGTCTGCCATCAACATTCAGAGATCTCAATATGAACTCAAGCATTTCTCATCAAATGCACCCAAATTATCTGCTTTCCACATTCATTTTATAGTTGACATACTAATTGTATGTCAACTATTGATAAAGACATTTTAGAAGAAACACCTTGACACTTAGATGAAACTTAACTGAGAAGTCAATTAAAATATCCTGAGCTATACAACAGCAACATCTGAGTGAATGTGAATGTGTGCGGCGATCCGTAGAGCAGAGACCAGCTGCATTACAGATCCTGCATTAGACACACACAGAACTGCAGTCAGTAAATGTTCTGAAGGTTGACACTCACCCAAGTTCTCCTCCACAAGTCCCAGAAGTCCAATGACCAGCACACAGACCCAACGCAAGCAAGTCCTCAAGAGATCCATCTTCTGTGAGCGCAACTCCAGCGAACGAGTGAATCCCTCAGCTGTCTGCCTAACACACACTCTTGAGTGTTTCTCTGTGTGTGTATGTGTGTCCTCTACAGAATGTGAGAAACTGCACACCCCACAGCAGCCTCAATCACAGCTTCACACCGACTGCCCAGCGAGAGAGAGACAGAGAGACAGAGACAGAGAGAGAGTGGGGAGGGGATTATTCACAGTCTTACACACAGTAGCCTCAGTGTAGTTGGGCCAAACCCCACCCCCACTTTGAGACCACGCCCCCATATTTTCACCTCACCCCCCTGTTGCCTTCTTTTTACCAAACACACCGGCTGAATGCAATACAAGCATGTTTCCTGCATACTGTGCACTGCTGCATAGTTATCATCTCAGAAATAAATTATTATAAATAAATAATTATATTAAGAAATATACTATAGAATTTATAGAATTTATAAATAATTATTATAAATCTTTTGTGTGTGTGTGTACCTGGTATTTATCACGTTATGGGGACCAAATGTCCCCACAAGGATAGTAATACCAGTAAATTTTGACCTTGTGGGGA